CCCAGTCTTAAGAGTTATCTTTTCCATTCAGATTTGAATAAAAAAAGCTTGAGCCCCATCTCCTGATTTGGGGGAAGCTCAGCATCTTTCTCACCATATCAGTGAATTCCTGGAGGCCATTGTTTTCCCTGATGATATTCAGGGTGGCATAGATTCAGCAAAAAGACCCCATTTCTCAGTTTTCTTTGCAGATAAAGGTGGCCAGTCAGAAATAAGTAGACGTCTTTAGGAGGGGATCTTGGGAAGTCTCCTTAAAATGAGCTGAATCATCTAGTGGTGGCTTTCCTCCCCCACACTTTTTTGTTTTTCCCTCTTGCTTTTGTTTTCTGGAATGTGGCATGGTAGCTGAGGCTCTTGCAGCCATTTTGTGATCTTGAGGCTTAAAGCCACAAGCTAAGGGTGGCAGAGCGGCAAGTCAGCAAAAACCTTGTTCCTTATTACATAAAGGAACCCCTTCCTCAGACTTGGACTATATACTTCAAAGTTCTGTTATGTGAGAAAGAAACAAATTAACTGTTTACATCACTGTTGTTTATAGTTATGTCTCCTGTAGCTGAATACAGTTTCTGCTTCCAGAATTCCTGCAGTGGGAGATAACAAATATCCTTTGTGGTAAACTGTACTACTATTCGTCAATATCCAGTTCCCTCCCTACAAAAAGATTGTAGTTTCCTGCCCTGTTGAACTCAAATGTGGCCGTGTGATTTGCTTTGGCGGATGAAAAAGTGAGCCGAAACGGCGAGTGTCCCTTGCCGGTAGAGGCTATAAAAGCCAGTGTGTGTCTCACCTTGTTCTCTTTTCCTTCTGTCATGATAACCAGTGTCAAAGGACTTTAGTTAAAAAATCTCAATTGGCTTTATTGTGATTCTAGAATCAGGCAACACTTATTCCGTAAAATAGAATACAAGTGTTGCAATGAGCTGTGCAAAAGAGGTGGCTTTATAGACAGAAAAAAAGACTAAAAAAACAGAAACAGAACAAAAAGCAGATTAGTCATTTTCAAGTCACTTTCCTTGTAAGGCAGGAACAGAAAGATGGATCAATGGAAAAACAACTGATTGGTTAACATCAGGATACTTCAGGTTATTACTTCTCTTGCATAAGGATTAAAACAGAGGCAACTTCACCATCATGTGTATTGAAGAGTTAAACTTGCATGTTTGGGAAATTGGCTGTTATCATCCTCTACTGATTTCTCGAAAAGTCAGACAACAACTTAGTTTGAGTTTGGTGACGTGGAACTTTTAGCATGGGTGAATCCATTTTGATTTTTAGTCTGGTCTTTCGGGGCCTAGTGCAGAGACTTAGTCTAAAACAATGGCCTCCTATCATTTTTACTTAACACCAGAAACATTTCTGATAGTGGCATCAGCTTGGGTCCCCTCATAGCTTCCAGCTGACCCATGATGGACATGTGGTGTGAGAGAAAAACAAACCTTTGTTGTAAACACTGAGATTTTTAGCTTATGTGTGACTGTCAATTTTAGGCAAAAATAATATGGCTTACTATGGGGAATTAGAGGCTGACAAGCTCTTTGGAAAGGCTAATGTAGTGAGCTCTAGGCTAAGACTCTGCAGGATTCACAGAACATGACCAAACTCACCTGCCTGGGGAGCTTCTCCCATCACCCCACAGAGGCTCCACTGTCCAGGTCAACCTCAGAATCCTGTTGCTCTTTCTGAGATCCAGGAGTTAGGAAATCATCACCAGCCAGGAGAGAACTGCCTGTTTGATTTCAATGTTATTGTGTTTCATGTTCAGGTATAACTTACACATAGTAAAGCGTACACATCTTAAGTGTACAGTTCAATCAGTTCTGACCAATAGGTATGGACTTATAATCTGCATCACTGTCAGGGTACAAGGAAGTTCCTTATGCCCTTTCACAGCCCACATCCCCCCTCCCCACCACTGCTGACATGGTAGACGCAGCTGCTATTCTGACTTTTTATCACCAACAATTAGTTCTGCTTATTCCAGAGCTTCATACAGATGAAATCGTGTAGCCTGTGCTCTTTTACATCTGGCTTCTTTCACTCAGGATAATGCTTTTGAGACTCATCCACGTTGTGTGCACCAGTATTTCTTCCTTCCATGATTTGTATCCACTCAAATGTGCTGATGAGCATTGGATTATTTCCAATTTTTTACTATTACAAATATTGCTATAAACATTCATGTTTATACAAGCCTTTGTGTGAACATATGGTTTCATTTCTCCTGGATAAATACTGAAGAATTGAATTGCTGGGTCCTATAAGTATACATTTGCTTTTTTAAGAAACTGCCAGTTTTCTAAAGTGATCGTACCAATTTACACTCCCACCAGCAATGTATGAAAATTCCAGCGGTTCCACATCCTCTTCAGCACTTGGAGTCTTTAATTTTAGCCATTCTAGTGGGTGTGTGGTGGTATCTCATTGTGATTTTCATTTATCTTTTACTGATGACTAATGATACTGAGCATCTTTACATGTGCTTATCGGCCATTTAAATATTTTTATGTGCATAACTTCTTCTTAATGCCCTCAAGGCTAGTGACTGGACACTGGGATGGTCTGATCAAAAACTCAACACTCTCACAGCCATCCTAGCCCACAGAAAACAGCCAAGTAAGCAGAAAGATGGTCTCTCTGGGTTTTCCAGATCTCCTATGAGGGCCTCTAATTAGCAAAGCTAAATCCACATCCAGAACCCCATCTCAGAGGGCATCTGGAAGACTTAGTACTAGCTTTTTCATCTCAACCCCATGGGAAGATGGAAGCGGGGCGGGGGGAATGGACACTGAGCCCCGATCCCCCAGTCACACCCTAGGGAGTTAGCGCTGCCCTTGTTCTGCCCAAGGAGGCTGTCAGGTGTTTTCCTAAGTCGATGTGGTGGTACATAAGATAGTTTTAGGCCCCAAACAATATTAAATCACATTGAATCACATCAACAGAAAGTAAATCATGTTTGAATATCTCTTAATCCATCAAACAATATGAGAGAGAAAGTCTCTGTGTAGTAAAGAATTAACCTTATCCAAGGAGAGGTATGATTTTTGCCCTTGGCTGTTAGAACATTATCTCTAAACCCTTGGAATGTTCTGCCCGGTGAGAGTGTCTTTGTTTACATGGGGGCCTTGGGCCACACAGTATCAGCTCCACCTCCAGAGGGTCTGGACACTAAGGTCAGCCATATGGGTGGTCAACCATGTCTATGTGACTGAGCCCCAATAAACACTCAGGACACCAAGGCTTGAGTGAGTTTCCCTGGTTGGCAATACATCATTGCCAGGAGAAGTCAGCGCTGTCTGCAACTCCACTGGGCGAGGACAACTGGAAGCTTTATGCCTGGGACGTTCCTGGACTCTTGCCCGTGTATCTCTATCCCTGGCTGATTTTAATCTGTTTCCTTTTGCCATAATAAATTGTAACTGCAAATATAACAGCATTCAGTGAGTTCCGTGAGTCCTTCTAGAGAATTGTCAAACCCAAGGGTGGTCTTGGGGACCCTCAAACTTGCAGTTGGTGTCAGAAGAGGGTGACACCAGCAGAGGGTGGTCTGGAGCATTCCAAACTCTGCATTCTCTTTGGGCAGTAGCGTAATGATGACGCCCCTGATTCTCGGTGGTCTCCCTACAACAAAGCAGTCTTTGGCCCCTGGCTCAGAGCCCTTGGCAGTGTCCAGCCAGAAGGGTATGTGATGATTGAAGTTTAGGAAATACTGTCCTAGAAACATCTTCCACATGCTGGTTGGCTACCCAGCCAGGGGACAAACGTGGCTGCCAGCATTTCCTGTTCTAAGAAGCCATTTTTCTTCCCTACCATGACCTACATTCCCCCTTTCTCCAGTGGTTTTCAATGTTTTTAAAAAGTGATCTGCAGTATGACATACATTTTACACCATCAGCACTCTGTATATCACTAGGTTGAGCCATATGAAATTGCTATTTTTGTAGGTCAAAAATATTTGAATGGTAATACTTCAAACGATTCAATTTAATAGATAGAATACGTTATATATGAATATATACATATATATGGATGACACTCCTTCCTAATCAGTTAGGCATCTGTTCTGATAAGTAGGTGGTAGGTACCGATAGTAAAATAGTTTTAGTATGCTCCCATATGTATATAATATATGTATATTACATAATATATATTATATATTTAAAATACTACATTTATCATTTGTGATGCACTCTGATATTTTCTTTTCTGTTTTATTACTTATTTTTCTTTTTATTTAATGCTACTTATGGACCACTTATCTGATTTTGTAACCATGAATTGGCTGTGACCTGAAGTTTGTGAAACATTGTCACTCCACCACCTTGTGACCAATGTCTCGTCTCTTTACTTTGGCACAATCCTTAAAGCTGGGTAGAGGTCCCTGCCCTAAGCCCTGTGAAGGCCTGATCTGGCCTAATCTGGTTGAGCCCCTTCCATGGCCATGGAGCCCAAGGGCCTTAAAGATGTGCCCACCAGAGCCGAGGCCCCTTCTTGACCATGCTCCAGGTCCCCCACCAGGGTCTACATGGCCTTTTTGGTGGACACATCTCTAAGCCAAGAGGTGGCCCAGAGATGGCCATTTATGTGTCAGGGGTGTGAACGGAGCCTGGACATGCAGGCTAGGGTGTCCACACTTGTGTGTGAGGCACCTTGACGTGCAGGAGGGACCGGTAGTGTGAAGGAAAGGGGGCTGCCACGGGCCAGAGACCACCATTCGTGCTTGCCCAAACCCCACCAATGTTAGGAGTGAGCTAGCATTGGATACCACGCTCTGCACATGGACCAGACCAGGGGCTACAAACTGCCTGTGGGCAGAATCCAGAGTCATCCACCACCCACCCCACACCCTTGCCACCCTGCTTCCAGCAGGCTGGCTTCCTTCACGTTATTACCCGCCTTGGCTTTTGGGAGTGCGTGGCCCCTTACTTCACTCCTCAGGGGGTTTGGGCCCAGCCCTGCCTCTCTCTTCTACCCCCCCGTCATAAATGAACAGAGACCATGGGGCAAGGACCACATTGCTTTACTTTTACTTTTTGACTGAACAGAGTGGGCAACTCGAGTGGCAGTGCCTGGGGAGCCGGGCAGCCTGCAACAGCAGGCAGGGCTGGGAAGGTAGGGGGCTTGAGCCACCGGCCCCAGCTCCAGCTCCAGCTCCATCCATCTGTGTCTTCCCTCTCAGGCTGGGCTTCTTATACTGACCATTCTGTAGGCTCATCAAGGGGAGGCAGAAGGCTGGGCGTGGTGAGCTGGCGAGGGGCTTGGTCTTGGGGTGCCCTTCGAGTTGTTGGCCCCCACTTCTGATAGACTCACCTGCGATAATTCCGGCATAGTTGGGACAAATGCCTGCACTTGCCACCTGTGGGTGAAAGAAGTGGTTCAGTCAAGAGTTGGAACAATATTGATTATGGTGTGTGCTCTGGGTACTGGGGACCCAGGCTGATCAATCCTGTCCCTTAGGAAGCTCAAAGGCAACTTTATAAACAGGTGAATGAGAAACACATGTGAGAACAGCCAGTGCAAAGTTCCCTGAGGGAAAAGCTTCCCACATATACACACAGAGGAGCCCTTTGAAAACTCAAACTGGGCCGGCCCGGTGGCGCACTGGATGAGTGCGCCGCTTGGGAAGCGCGGCGGTGCTCCCGCCCGAGGGTTCGGATCCCACATACGGACTGGTTCCCGCTCACTGGCTGAGCGAGGCGCGGGAGCAACACCGAGGCTTGTGGTCCCGTTGCCGGTCCCCGGTCCGGTGCGGGGGCAACACTGAGGGTTGCGATCCGTTGCCGGACACGGAAAAAGACAAAAAGACCAAAAAAAAAAAAGAAAACTCAAACTGTTTTGTGTATGAAGGTACTTCAAAAAGTTCAGGGAAGGATTTGTACTCTTTTAATTCTATTTTTCCACGAACTTTTTGAAGTACCCTAGTATTATTTATTCATTCAGCACATGTTTATTGTGCACCTACTATGTGCCCGGCACTGGGAACAAAAAAGAAAAAAATCCCTGCCCTTGCACAGCTGACTTTCTGGTGGAGGAGACTAACGATGTGAAAACTAACAAAGTCAAACATGTGGATGGTGATAAGTCAGATGGTGGTGAGTGCCATGAAGAAAAGTACAGCCAGGAAGGAGGCAGAGAGGGCTGGGAGCCAGGGCATCCTCATGAGGATGATGAGGGGGGCATCACTGAGAAGGTGACATTTGAGCAAAGACCTGAAGGAGGTGAGGGGGAGCCACGTGGACATCTGGAGGAAGGGTGTCACAGGCAGAGGGAAGAGCCAGTGCAAAGGCCCTGAGGTAGAAGGGCACAGATGGGCTCAAAGGACAGTAGGGAGGCCAGGTGGCTGGACCAGAGAGAGTGAAAGGGGATCTTAGAGGCCAAAGGGGACTTCAGAAAACAGCAATCTACCTGTGCCCTGGCTGCCACCCCCACCCCACCCCCAAGCCCCTCACCTCTCTGGCCTCATCTCTTCTACTCTCCCCCTGGCTTACCCTGTCCCGGCCACCTTGGCCTCCTCCTGCTGTTATTGCCACATGCTCAGCTCATTCCTGCCTCCGGGGCTTTGCACTTGCTGCTCCCTCTACCTGGGTTTTTATCATCTTCTTATCATGAGGAATCAGTTCTGATTTCACCTGCCACATCCTCTGGGCCCCTGGCCGTCTACCTCCACTGGCAGGAGGTAGAAAGGCAGGAGGAGAGAGATGTTTCAGTATCTGACCCCCTCCACCCCACACGCTCCTGGCTGGGTTACAGTGAGGCAGCAGCTGGAGGCTTCTCCCTGGGGCCACAGCTCCTGCCAGTGGCCCCTGCAGCATTTCTATCTCTCACCAGGTCCTGGCACAACCATGACCTCTCCTCACCCATGCAAGCTATGGTGATAACAGCTCCTGGTGTTGCTAGTCCTGGGGTGCTGCACCATCTTGAGAAAGTGGCTAGTCTGGCAGCTCCAGGGCCCTATTCTTGTTTGTCTGAGAGGGTGGGGTCATCCTATCTAGATGAAGCATCTGATCTTCATTCACCTCCTCCCCACCTAGCCCTGTTCCCTGCCAGGTCTATGTACAGGGAACTGTGACCCCTGGTGTAGTACACTGACTGTCAAAATGGCCCCAATTCTCTACCCCTCCCTATTAGAATCTATGTCCCTTGCAATGTGACTGCCTCTCCTCCCATCAAGAGGTGGAGTCTATTTCTTGACCCGTGGAATGAAATTGGGCCTTTTGTTTTGCTTTGACCAATAGAATATGGTGGAAGTGATAGTAGCCAGTTCTGAGCCTTCATGCTTTCTCTCTCTCTCTCTCTTTCTTTCTCTCTCTCTCTCTCTCTCTCTCTCTCTGTCTTAGTCTCCTGACACACCACCATGTGAAAAAGCCCAGGCTAGCCTAGTGGAGGGTAAGACCATGAGGTGAAGAGCCAAAGTGCCCCTAGAAGAAGAGCTCCCTGCTGACCTGCAATTGACCTCACATGTATGAGAAAATCCACCTGAGACCAGAAGAACCACCTAGCTGAGCCCAGCCTACATTTCCAAACTGTGAACTTGAGAGCTATATAAATGGTAATCATTTTAAGCCGTTGAATCCGGGGGTGGTTTGTATGAATATATAGCTAACAGATACCTCATTTACAACAACTTGCCCAGGGGCCTTTGAGAACTCCACCCTCAGTCATAGTACAAGCTTCTCCACCCCCAGTCTTGGTGCCCTTCCCACCTAAACCCCATTCTCACTGGTGAGGATGACAATGCCTGTGATAAACAGCACAGCTGCGACCAATAGCCCCCGTTTCCGGAGAGTGTGTTCATCTGTAGAGAGAAAAATGGAGAGTACAGTCAGAGAGACCTTCACCCTTCCTTGCCCCTCATCTTCCCATGGGTAACTTACCATAGAAGAAGGGGTTGTCCTCACCCAAACCTGGAGGGGACAGACAAGGAGCAAGTCAGAGTTCAGCAAAGGTTTGTGGAGTGAATAAGTGAATGCCAGAGTCAGCAAGAGGGGACACCTGGGTCTCAGCTTTAGTGCCCTTAGAATAAAACCCAAAGTCCTTGCCATGGCACACATCTGGTTCCCATCACTTCTCTAACCTCTTCTCCCCCTCATCTCTGCACTCCAGCCCTACTGGCCTCCCTGATGTTGAACACACCAGACACCTTCTCATCACAGGGACTTTGCACCAGCAGCTCCCTCTGCCTTGAAAACTCTTTCCCTAGACATCCACATAGCTCCCTCCTCCACTTCCTTCTCAGCGAGGTCTTCCCTGGTCCTTTACATGAAATACTCCCCAGTCACTCTCTAACCCTAACTCTGCTTTATTTTTCTGGATAGCAAGTTAAAATCACCTGATATATAATTATTATGATTATTGTTTGTTGTCTTTCTCCCATCAGTAGAATACCAGTTGTATGAGAGCAGAGATTGTGTCTGTCTTGCTCACTGCTATATCCCTGGCACCTAGAACAGCGCCTGGCACACTGGAGGTGCTCAATGAATATTTGTTGAATAAGTGGATGGATGGACTCTGTGACCTGTGGACATATCATTTCCATTCATTCATTGGGGGTTGACTGGATGGAAAGTGGAGGATAAGACCTCAAGGGGAAGAATCAAGGTGCCACTGGAAAAAAACAGAGCTCCCTGTGACCCACAGCTGATCTCAGAGCAAGAGTAAGTCCAGCTGAGACCAGAAGAACCACCCAGTTGAGCACAGCCTACATTTCTTTTTTTTTTTCCTTTTTGTCTTTTTTCGTGTCTGGCAATGGATTGCAACCCTCAGTGTCACGCCCGTACCGGACCGGGACCGGCAACGGGATTGCAACCCTCGGTGCTGTGCCCGCACCTTGCTCAGCCAGTGAGCGGGAACTGGTCTGTATGTGGGATCCGAACCCTCGGCGGGAGTGCCGCTGTGCTCCCAAGCGGTGCACTGTAGCAGTGCGCCACCGGGCCGGCCCCCAGCCTACATTTCTAAACAGCAGAACTGAGGGCTAAATAAGTGATTATCATTTTAAACCATTGAGTTTAATATGTATGTATGCAGCACTTGTTTATGCATTCATTCACATATTCAGACATCTATTGTGTGCCCACTCTCTGCTAGGTTTGAAGTCATTTATTCACCTAACACATGTTTATTGAGGACTATTGTGTGCTGGGCCATATTCAGGTGCTGGAAATACACAGTGAATTGCAAATAGGCTGTTTCTAGTCTGGCAAGGAAGTTACTGACCAGGTGGCCTGGGGGTCTGGGGGTACATCCTGGAGTCTTTGCTTGGGGATCGTCTCTCGGAGAGCGTCGTGGTGTCTTCAGTGGGATGGGCAGAGAGAGCAGCCAGAGGATGGTGGAGAGCAGGAGTGAGTTGTGGAGGGAGAAACAAGGGACATTACTGAAAGTCCATATCTGGTAGCAACCCCTCTCCCACATCTACACATTTGGTGTGCAGGGCCAGGTACCCCCCACTCTACCCCTGGAGTATTTACTTATTGTAAAGCAGGTATTGAAATCAGCCTGCACCCCCTGGTTAAGACCAGCTGCCCAAACCCCCAGGGGACCACGACCCCTCTCCCAGGACCTCCTGGGATACCCTATAATCCAGGAGCTAAAGGGTAACACCTGGCACAGCCAGGCAGTGTGACGTCCAGGATCCTGGCCCAGCTACACAGCCTGTTGCGAAACATTCTGAATATCATCTCTGCCCCCAGACCAAAAATACCAAAGTGTTCCTCTCTTAAAAGAAAGAAAAATTAATGTCCTAAAGAAAACACTTCCCCCATCTATAATTAACAATAATTTATTGAATGTCCTCAAACGGCTAGAAGAGAGAAGCTCAAATGCTCTCATTGCAAAAAGATGATAAAATTTTGCAATTACAAATATTCTAATTATCCTGATTTGATCATTACCTATTGCATACATGTATTGAAATATAACTCTGTACCCCATATGATCAATACATGTCAATTAAAAATAAATAAATTTTTAAAAGAAAAGGCATGCCCTTCTGGCACTGAGAAGTCCCCCACACCTGGTCTGATGCTTTGATGTGAACCCAGCAGGTAGAAAATCTGCCTTGAGGACCCCGAATTCCCTGGGTCTCTCTTAGCACCTCACCCCTAAATATGAACTGACAGCCGAGGATTATGAGATGTTCAGGGAATGCATTGCCCAGAGGAAGGTATAAGCAAGATCAACAGCAGGGACAAAGATGCCAAGGCCACAGATAATACAAGGGCCAGCCATGGTGGCGTGTGGTCTTCATGCACCCTGGAGCTAGATAGTCTGAACTTAAATCCAGTTCTGCCACTTTTGGCTGTGAGGCCTATGGCAAACTGAGTAGCCTTTCTCGGCCTCAGTTCCCTTCCCTGGAGAATGGGGGTAATGACAGATCCCACTGCACAGGGTGGCTGTGAGCACTGAATGAGTTAATACACGAAAGCTTAGCACAGTGCCCAGCATGGAATAAGCTCTCAGCAAATGTCAGCAGATGTTAACTCTCTGCTTGACACTCCTCCCTTCTTCTGGGAACAGTTCCCCTTGGGTTTCCCAATTGTAACCCAGGCTACAGGGGGAAGCATGTGACTTCAGTCTAGTCCTTCCCTGGGACCTTTCAATTCCCAAGTTGGGATTTTGAGTGAAAGCTAGATACTGCAAACTGAATTGTATCCCCCCAAAATTCGTATGCTGAAGCCCTAACCACCAATATCATGGTATTTAGAGATAGGGACTTTGGGAAGTAATTTGGGTTAGATGAGGTCATGAGGGTGGGGCCCTCATGATGGGATTAGTGCCCTTATACCATGAGATCAGAGAGCTAGCTTCCAATCTTTCTATCTACCTGCACACACCAGGGAAAGGCCATGTGAGGACATGTCCTTGATCTTGGACTTCCAGTCTCCAAAATTGTGGGAAGTAAATTCCTATTGTTTAGGCCGCTCAGTCTGTGGTATTTTGTTATGGGAACCTGAGCTGACTAAGATACTAGGTGAAGCTAGGAAGCTCTGAGCTAGAAGATGACAGGAGCCATTTCCTCCCTAGGTAGAAGAGAAGCCCCAGGACAAAAGAAGCAAAGATGGAGGAGGAATAGAGGCTCTGGAGCTTTCATGCCCAGGCCCTGGGCAACCCTGAGGCTCTGCTGTGCCTTTTACCACTTGGCTCTATGACCCCTTGGCTCTGCTGACGAATATAACCAGGAATATGGACTAATACATAGAGTAACTCAGGTCAGCAAAGACTCAAGAGTAAATTAATTCAGAGATTTGAAAATGTTTTATCAATTGGGAAGTGTGGACACAGCCACCATCCCTCACCCCTCACTTTTGGGCAAAATAGAAAAGCTCCCTTCCCCAAAACACCCTATTTCAATCTGTTGTAATATTGTTTTAATAGACAGATTCTGTAAAAAAGAGATGATTCACTGCCATCACTGGAAAAATGGAACAATTATAAAGGTCAACAAGGGGAATGTCATGGCCTTAGAGGTGATGCTCTTGTGCAGTGCCCAGTCTGCACAACTGTGCATGCCTCTCACTGTGGGAATGGCATCAGCAACAGCACTTTCCAGTGGGGGTTGCCCCTCAAATAAGGGTCATCACACAGGCACTAGAGGCCATCTGTTGCTTTCATCTCAGCTCAGCCCCCTCTCCTACACCTTATGGTAACATTAACTCACTTGTCTAGAGGGGAACCACCTCTTCCCTGATTCCTGGTCTATGTGGTTCAGGCAGGACTGACCCCCTTCTCCAGCCCCAGGACACTCAGACCTGACCAATCAGAGCAGTACATGTCCCAGGCTCCCACTGGTTCAGACATGAACCAATTGGTGCAGGCACGTGACCCCAGCTGGGCCAATGAGAGTCAATTCTAGGCCTTGGGCTGGAGATAATAGGAAAGAGATGTTCTCTAGCTGCTGGGTTTGTGACCTAAACTTAGAACTATGGGACTATCATTGCCACCAAGAGGGGAAAAGTCAACTGAGAATGAAGACAACAGAACCAAGAGAGGGAGAAATTCAGTCATGGTGACAGTGCCTAAGCTCCTCGATCAGCTATGCCTGGAACTGGATACCTATGGACTGTACAGACCTTATATAGCCAACAAATCATTTTTTGTTGTTGTTGTTGTTCGGTTTTCTGTATTTTGCAACAGAAAAGCTCCTGCTCTAACATTACGAAGACATACGCAAAGGAAACATCCACAGCCACATTTCCCAGCACCAGCCATGTGAAGGGGACTGAACAAAAGAGGGTCCCCAAGTCTATCAAGCTCAGGAAACGCTGCATACTAGATGCTCCCTGTGGGGAAGCTTGCTGAAAATTAGTTTTATCAAGACCCTGAGAAGTCCTGACATGAAGGAATATGGTTAACTTTTACTCAGAGTTCCCCAAATACCTTTGAGTGCAAACCAAGAAATTTTTTTTTTTCCTTTTTGTCTTTTTTTTACTGACCTGTAACGGGATTGCAACCCTCAGTGTCGCGCCCGTACCGGGGACCGGCAACGGGATCGCAACCCTCGGTGTTGCACCCGCACTGCGCTCAGCCAGTGAGCGGGAACCAGTCTCCACATGGGATCCGAACCCTCGGCGGGAGTGCTGCCGTGCTCCCAAGCGGCGCACTCTCCAGTGCGCCACCGGGCCAGCCCCAAGAAAATTTTTTGAAAATTTATTAACAATTCCCCAAACAGGTGCTCTGAGAAATGTACTTGGACAAATGCTGAGCTAGACAGAGAATTAAACAAAAAACTGCAGGCTACTGTTCTCAGTCCCAGGCTCTACCTTGCTTTCCGCTCTTGTGGGTCCCTGGATCTGTCGTTAGAAGCTCATCCATTCCCGTCGGTTGTTGGGTCTGGGTCTCAGTCTGGTTTTGTGTTGTTTCTACTCAGGTCAGAAGAGCAAGGAGGTGAGAATAAGAAAGAGTGACTCAGGGACATGAAGATCTATAGAACAGCGAGGGATCATCTCCCTCCGTCAGGCTGGCACAGATCAAAGATGTTAATATACGAAGTGTCGTCGTAGGGGTGGGAAAGGCGGGCTCTCTCCCACACCCTGCTGGGGGAGGGCAAATGGGTGAAGCCACTTGAGAGGGTAACTTTTAAAACAAGTTTAAGTGTTCATGTCCTTTGCCCCATAGTGTTTTGGATAAAAGCCCTGGCTCTGCAACCAGATTCCTGGATTCTGATCCCAGCCGTGTCCCTTGGGCAAGTTACTCTGAGCTTCTATTTCCTTATCTGTAAAGTGGGGATAGTGGTAGTGTCTACATATAGGGTTTGTGTGAGGATTGAATGGGTTAATACAAGCAAAATGTTAATATTTAGAACCATAACCGGCACTAATAAATGCAATGTGTTTGCTCAAGGAGGAAGGGACAAAGTTGTCCACTGTGGCACTGCGTGTGGCAGTAAAAACTGGAAGCAAGCAATATACTCATCAAGATGTGTGTGACGACAGTAACTGTAGCACAGGCACGTGTGGAATACCAGGCAGCAGAGAAAAAGAATAAGATGAGTCTGTATGCAGTGATGTAAAAAGGACTTCCAAACGCACTACTGCCTGACAAGAACTAACAAAGCAAGCTGCAGAACGATCATATGAGATCCTCAAGTTCACAAAATACCCCACAGAGCCAGGGTATTTCCTGCAGGGAATAAACATGTGATATAGGATCACCGGAGAACTATACCCTCAATGCTAATAGTGGGGACCTCTCAGAGACAGGGAGAGAGAACAAGGGTGGTGGGGGGGTTGACAAAGGGAATTAGTTTTGCTTACAGTATTTTTGTTGTTTCCAGGGAGAATGTATTTATGTACTACTGTGTCATTAAACATCAATTGAAAAAATTGGGGAGCACTTTCTGAATTACGTTATACTCCAAGAAAAAGTTCAAAAATTATTTGCAACTTAAAAAAGGGAATACGAGATAAAGAGATTAAGGGAAGAAACGAATGGGGTTTGGCACACAGCGAGTTTCTGGGTATTTGCAAAGTTCTGTTTCTTGACCTGGGTGGAAACTACACAGGGGTTCAATTTAGGGTAAGTCATTAAGTTGTACATTTATGGGTTTTGTATTTTTCTATATGCATGTTATATTTCACAATTTTAATTTTTCTTTTTTTTTTTTTTAAGAATTTGAATGGAGTTGGCTGGCTGCCCGACCACCAAGTAAACCATGGGATTCAGAGCTGGGATCAGGGGCATTAAAATGGGTGACCAAAGACAAAGAGCATCAGAGGAAGAGGGGAAACTCTGTCTGTCCCAGGCCCACCTCCCCAACCCCTCCCTCTGCCCCACTCACCATCAGCATGCTGGATTGAGGTCTGAGGGGTGGGCTGGAGTTCTGGTTGGACCGTGTCTGGAGTCCAGAAACAGGGGGTCAGGGAGAGAATAGGAGAGAAGTGGAGAAGGCCCATAGATGGAGATACAGGGGATTCCCATAGCAACTCAATTTCGATATAATGGAAATGATTTAATTAATGCAGCCATTCGCTAACTGTCCAAATGTGATGCCAGTATCTCCCCTGCCTCAGGACCTCACCTCCCACAGAGACCACACTAGAGGCTCCTTGTTGGGAATGCTTACTGCAAATTAGCTTTCTCAAGACTCTGAGAAGTCCTGCCTATAGAAACATGTTTAACTCAGTTTCCCAAATATTTTTGAATGCAAACCAGCACCCACCTGCTCTAACTCCCCCACCCCAGAGCTTACTTTGGGGAACCATCCTTCCCTAATTCTTGGTCCACTTTATTCAGTGGGGCTGGCATCCAGGGGAACAGGGGACCTGGGCCTGGCCAATCAGCTTTCTGTGCCTGTGGCCACAATGACCAGTTCATGGGTGTGCAGGTAACCCAAGCCTGGCCAAAGACACTCAGTACTGAGATATTTGCTGGATTAGGGAAGGATAAATTCTACTGGATTTTTAGCAGGTAGGATGGAAGCCCCAGGCCTCTGGGGACTATCTTGGCCCCATAAGAAGAGAATCTACCTGAGAATGAAGGCAACACAGAGAAAATAGAACCTAGAGATAGGTTCCTGATAACATCATTTCAGCACCTAGATCAAGCCATGCCTGAAGGTTTATCCTTAGACTTTTTAGTTACACAAATCCATCAATTTCCCTGTTTGGTCCAAGTCTGGGATTTTTGTTGCTGATGTTATTTGCAATGACAGGATCTTGACAGAACTTCCCTCTCTCCTCACCTGGGACTTCTGTCAGGATAGGAATATTCACAGTAGTTGGGTCCACTGGAGAAATGAATGTAGCCTCCTCCGACGTCTGTCCTGGGGAATCAAGGATAAGAAGTTGAGAGGAAGCCTCTGGTCCCCTTCTCTCACCAACACTCTCCCTTCTGAAACCATTGTGGGCAACTCTAGAGGTCCTGTCTGCTGCCGAAACCATTCAGCTTTGGCTATATCAATCCACAATCCTGGAAGTGTTTTAAGCTACGCTAATACCCGAGAACCCTTCCTTCAGTCCACTCTCCCCACCCATCCTCGTGGGATGGGAGAGGCAGTTTAGTCTAGTGAGCCCAGGTGCTGGGGACAGCTGGGGCCCTGGTTTCAAATTCTGCTCCCAACAACATCCTCACTGTGTGACTTGGAGCAAATTAAGTCCCCTCTCTGAACCTCATTCACCTCTTCTGCAAAGAGGGGATAATGAGAGCATCTCTTCACAGAGCTGTTGGTAGAGTGAAATGAGATGGAGCAGGGTTAAGTGTCTCCCCACTGCTTAATACATCCACTGCCCCCGCTCTGGCCCAGCCTCTATCCTTCCTGCCTGGACATCCCAGCAGCCTCCCCCTGTTCTCTTGCTCCCCTCCCTGTACCCACAGTCTGTTCCCACATGCAGCCAGAGGGAACCTGTGAACACCTGAGCCATGTCAAGACCCTCCTGGCTCAGAGACCTGCCCTGGCTGCACCTCAGTCTTCACCAGGCCTATAAGTCACCTCTCTGACCTCTCCTCTTCCCACTCTGCCCTTGTTTATTTTGGGGGGTGGGGGGTGCTGGCCTGGCTGGTGGGTATGGGGATCTGAACCCATGACCTTGGTGTTATAAGGCTGTGCTGTAACCAACTGAGCTAACCAGCAGGCAGCCTTGTTTACCCTAACCCAGCCACCCGGCCTGCCTGCTGTTCTTCGAATTCACCAGACAACACTCATCCTCAGATACCTGCGAAGCTCATTCCCTCATCTCCTTCAAGTGTTTGCCCAAATATCTCCTTCTCAGTGAGGCCTTCCCTGACCACCTTGTGTAGATACTCCTCACTACTCTCTATTTTTAATACTCCATAGCGTGTGTCATGTATAATTTACTGATTTATTGTTTATTTGTCTGTCTTTCCCCACTAGAATGTGACCTCCTGATTTATTCACTGCTGTTTCCCCAGCACATAGAAGAAGAGCTGGCATACAGTAGGTGCTCAACAAGTATTTGTCGAATGACTGAAAGAATACATGCAAACCGTTTTATCAAAAAGAAATGGCAGCACCATCAGTGGAGCCTATGCTCTGGGTTCTGGAGGCAGGCAGGATGGTTGAAATCCCAGCTCCTCCGTTTCCTAGCCTCTGGCACAGGGCACTTCCCCTTGCTGAGCCTCAGTTTCCTCACCCATAAAAAGGGCACGGCAACGTGTATCACACTCGCAGAGCAGAGCCTAAGCCTAAAAGAGCTAATGCACACAGCTCCTGCCACGTAGAAAGCACCCGCAAATACCCTCCACAGGTACAGCCTTGGGGAAACGCTTCCCAGGCGAGACTGAGATGTCTCCAAGTCTTTGGACTAGCTCGGGCTCCACCCCTCTGCCTAACTGTGGGTTGTCAGGGGATCCAGGGATCCGCTTTGCTGGGAGCCCAGGTTTCCTGGCTGCCAAGTAGAAAACTGACACCGATCTTCCTGCCAAACCAAACTCAGTGAGTTCTTCTTGGAGGTGGGCCGGAGGGTGCTCAGCAGGACAGGCTCTGGCCAGACTCGCTGGAAGCGGCAACCCAAGTCTGAGCGCTCCAAAGAGGGTGTAACCCCGCCCCCGCGTAGGGATCCCCACTTCCTGGGGCCGGCTCTGTAGGGGGGTGAGGGGGTGGGCCGGAGCACCCCAACTCACCAGTCACCCACCCAGCAACACACAGGGCGGGGTCTTACCTCTGGTGGGAAGAACCAGGCCAACGATGGTGAGGAGACACAGGCGACCAGAGGGCGACATCTATGGGGCGAGCCGGAGCTGGGGTCAGCCATGATGCCACATGAGGAAGGTCTGGGGCCCCCGAGGATCCCCGCAGCCCCATTCCCTACCCTGAGCGGGGGCCTCTGGCTCCAAGTACCCCCTGCCAGCGCTGACAGCTGGCTTCGGGGGCCGGAGGGAGGGGTGTCAGAGGTGGGTGTCCCAAGACGCCACCCCCTCTTTCTCCTGTAGGTCCCCAAAGAAAATAAGAAGCATCAGACCAAATTGGCCTGTCAGCAACAGCAACTGCACGGGGACACTCGTGAGGCAGAAAAGCACCTCCTGCTCCTGCAGCCGGGCACTCACCCCTCGCTCGGACTGACAGCGAAAGGCGCAAGGAGGGGTCCGTGGCAGAGTAGAGCAGGGGACCTCTCCTCTGGCTGCGGGGACAGAGGCGGGGAGTCGGCCGGGAGGGGAAGAGGAAGAGCGAGTAACGTGCTGCTGGTCTCAGAGGAAAAAGTGAGCTGTGTGAGGGCCGCGCTGCGGGGACGGGAGATCTGAGGGGACCGGTCCTGGAGGGAGGGGGGAGCTGGGGAGACTGAGGCCGGAGGGAGGGGAGCAGAGGAGGAGGCGGAGGGAAGTGAGCGTGAGTGCGGGACGAGAGGCACAGAGGGGCCAGTGTCGTACCCACCTGAGCCCGAGCCCTGGGCACAGGCGGGCGGCTGGAGCTGGGGCGGAGGAGGGAACCACGTCCGAGCCGGGGTCCCGAGCGAGCCGCAGCCTCGTGGGGCGCGGGGAGCGGGCAGCGGCCGGCGGCGGGAGCTGGGTCCTGGCGGAGGGTGTGGCCAGGGGAGCGCGGGCGGCCG